GCAAGCCGTATATGATATTTGCACGACTCCATGTCCCGAAGCCACCCCTTAACAGGATCGACGTAAAAAAAGTAGCAACGTGCTGTCGACTGTCTGTTGCAGTATATCTATTAAGAGATATTTCCCTTGCTTATTTGGCACTTGTACATGTGGTGGCTAACCCCCTCTTGTGTCAGTCAGGGTTCCAAGTTGTTGTCGCTATCTGCCATACTTGTTTCTCTTTTGTTGTTACAGGGTGGTTAAGCTTCACCAGTGGCCTCCTTCCCGAGGCAATTCCCTGCTCTCCCCTGCTAGAGGGGCACCCTAATCCATTCACCCCTTCCGACTTCAGAGTGTACTCTTTGAGTTTGGCAACTCACCACCGGCATCCAACCAAATCTAGCGGATCAACGACGCCTCAACTTAGTTCCTGGTCAGCTCGCAAGTTGATTTTATCACGTCCTACACCGTCCACAAGATGGGGGGCCACCTCCCAATTCAACACCCCTCCACACACCCGAGAGGTCGGCAGGCGGGTTTGTACCCGGGTCGGCTGGGAGCAGAGGTCAGGCTTTGCCGCCAGCCGCCTGTTTCTGTATTATGGGTGATAATTTCCGTGTGTGTTGTTGTAATGTGTGGGGATAGATGAAGTCCTGCAAAGGCTGCGAATTCCAAGGTTCAATATGTAAATGATTAATGCAGCGTTACACACGAGTGAAGGAGTGATTTGTTGAGAGCAATCGCATCATATGTTGGTTAGTTAGGAGTATATCCCTTCTTGCCGATTTATGTTTCTTCTGTCTGTTGGTGACATTGTTCAGAACATGGTGCAAATATCTATTCTCTAGAGTCTAGATGTTGACTTTTCATAAGTTGTAGCAAGTAAGCGACATATGTGCACATGGCTAGTGACAAACGTTGCTGTAACAAATATCATTTTAATGCCTACTAGGCATTAAAACTGTAGTACATACTGCTCTTCATCAACCTCAGTTTGCAAGTACAAAACGTACAAACGCGTGTACACATGAGCCCTACCTAACACATACTACAACTACTTGGCAGCATACTACACTACAAACACCAGTATGTAGCAGCCG